TGTGTTCTAGACACATCAAAGATGCTAAAGACTGAGGCTCTGGAGGAAGCCACAGCTGAGTCACCCAGGATGGAGGTAGCAGTGCAGCTGGATAGAGGGAGAAACTGTGCACTCCTTGGAGGACGACCCCCCGGCTGGGCTGGAGCAGGACAGCTCCTCTGTCAGGAGTACAGCAGAGGCTGGGCTGCCCTGCTGGAACCTCCAGGCAAGCCCACAAAACCTGAAGACCGTTTGTAGCTCCATATGAATTTTAAGGTTTAAAAATGTTTCTATGAAGTATGTCAATGGGCCTTTGATAGGGATTGCATCCTATATGTAGATTACTATCAGTAACATGAGCAACATGAGTAACATGAGTAAATAGCATTAATTTTTCTATTTTATTTGTGTCCTAAGAAGTCTGTCTATGGCTTCCAATATTATCTCACATAAAATACTTCGCTCATCTATGGTTTTTTTTGATGCTGAGATAAATTCTTTCTCTTCGTACTTTGTTGAGAGTTTTTTTTTTAAATCATGAAAGAATGTTAAATTATGTGAAAAGAAGAAGGTCTTGTTTTAAAATTCAGATGTTTCCTCCTAATCCAGACTATTTCAGAAAGCTCCTTTTCTTTTTGAAGCCATCTTTTATGATTTTATTCTCCAGTTATGCTTATGGCAGGGAAGGATGTTGCTGTGCCCATTTTTTCTTGTGTTTCCATTTGTCTCTTTCTCTTGAACTAGATGCACTTCACAATATGAGAGCTTCTGAATGCAGGCGCCAAATCACATTGAACTTGAGGCTCCAGAGTTTAGCCCAGTGCACGACAAATAAGCACTGGTCAACAGGTGTGTGTGGGAATGATTAACATGCAATAATGGATTAGATAACCAGGAACACAGTATGAGAAAAAGATCAATGGATTACGGTACCAGTAGAAGAAAACAGTGACTAAAACCAAGTCATTAGAAAGTCTTATACCAGGACAGTCCTCACAACAGTCTTTGGCTCCAGAGAAAGTTAATAGGCCCGGGGGTACTGATATTCATGCATACCAATGTATTAGTATATCAAATATTTCAAAATAGGCATGTTTTGTAACACTGTAAAAGGTACATGCTAGGACTCTAGGGGAGGATCAATTTTTAAAAGCTGCATGATAAGTTTTAGAGGAATCAGTAAGCATGCCTGAAGTTAGAAAAATATCAAAAATCACTTGGTGTGATAATGACTAAGTAAAGAAGAGGAAATTTTTCTCTTAGTCCAGTGTCAAAATTTGTAGCAAGAACATCAAAGATGTTTAACAACAATAGCGTAACAACACTGCTCTGGGCAGAGAAGGAATATCACCCAAGTAGCAGTTTATTTCAAAGGAATCTGAGCTCTTTCCTGTATTCACCAGCAAACTGGCAATGACTTAGTTATTTACAATTTACTTTACTAAAGATAATAAATGTGTCAGAAATTTTATCACAAACACAGGGAGGAAAGGGAAAGATACAAAAACAGAAGATAAAAAGAGATGTTGGTGGCATCTGGGACACAAAAGATATGATATTTGAGCAATCTGTGTTTTCTGAAAAGAAAAACCAGAAATTGGGATTTTTATTTTGCTCTCTCCTTAAATAAATTTTCTTACAGATGTTATAAAAATACATTTAATAATATGAAATTAAAATACATAGTAATAGCTTGAGTAAAGTTGGTTTATGCTACAGAATTTGATGTACTGCACATCATTTGAAATTATAAACAAAATGTTGGTGCTTGCTTTTGTTTCCTGCCCAATATTTTGGGGGTATTTTGAGGAAACTTTTCCATTATCCAAGAAGGAAATGATTAATCTGCTTCTGCCCAGTGCCAGATGTTAACATGATTTTGTAGTTTATTTAAGGATAGTCTTGAACGGGGAGGACAGTCCTTCCTGTTTGATGTACCAATAAGATGAATGAATGTGAATGAAATTCCTTACTGTGCAGTTTTAAATTTGCTTCCTGTATCTTTCTTGAGGTCACCAGAAATAGACTGTGCTCCAAAGTATATTATTTGCTGACAACTTTACTAGTCTTTTCAAATGTCCTGCCTTCCACCTTCTTTTTAATAATAAAAGAATTTTCTGTATTTAGCTGTATTTCTGTATTTGGCTTCTGTATTTGTTGAAATTGAATGTCATGTGAAATATTTTTACTGGGGCCGGTACACCTATTGCTGTTAGATAAAATGACTTATGCTATTAAAATATTTCTTTTCATTATATTTGCTGGCTTTTAAAAACATAACTATGGTTTAGAACATTACTTTGCAAAAAGTCAGGATTTTTGGAATGTCTTTTGTTTTAAATGATCACTACAGAAAATACTGCATACAAAAAGCAAGAAAATAGATGAGAGGCCTCGTAGGTTCACATAGCTAGCAAAGAAGAGACCATGGTATTTGGACACAAAGACTTACACAAAAGCCCACGTAGTTTACTGAGCTCTGCACTGTGTAATTCATCAATGAATCCTATTGACTCGCAATTCAAAATGGTGGCTTCCAAATGGGTTTCACAAACAATTTTTTCTCCTCTATTCCATAGTTACCATCCTGGCCCACCCATTATCATCGGGATTAACTACTATAGATGGCCGTGACTGTGTTCCCTGCTGCCACCTGTCATACATTGTCCTTTTTCACTCAACAGCTTGAGAGACTTTGTCAGCCCTCTGCTGTGTCACCCTCCTGCTTACTGTCCTGACTGTTTTCCAATACAACATCCTAACCGAGCTGGACTCTTCCCGCTGGAATGACTTTCTAAGAATACACCACATGACAAAAAATTTAATACACACATACATTATTTACATTTATATCCCTCAGTTATCAAATTCCTACAGAATTGTGAATCTTTTAAATGGTGTTAGGAGTATGAAATATTCTACTTTTAAAATGAGATAAAAATTGGGGTAATTCAATAACCAGGGGGAAATAATGCAATCACTTTATTCAGCTGCACAGGATTTTGTGTTTTTTATTTTATATACTGTAAGTAGTTTAAATTTATCCACTGTTTACTCAACCATTCATCTATGCACATTGTATTTACTAATGTATTTACTCATTCAATACTTCACTGTGTATCATGCCCTGAGCAAGCTAGTAAGTCTACAGGGGTGAAATAAAAATCTTTAACCTTCTCTATCCATAAATACAACATCATTTATCAAGAAAAGAAGTGAGCTGTCAATGTACCAACACACAAGAATGAAGCATATTGCTGAGCAATAGAAACAAATCTGAAGAGGAAATATATGCATGATTCCAACCACATGATTCCAGTAAAGGCAGATGGAAATGGTAAAGGGATCAGTGGTTGCCAAGGTTTAGGGGAAGGGATGGATGAATATGTGGAGCATGGGGAATTTTTAGGGAAGTGAGACTGTCTTGCCCGACATTTTTTAGGGAAGTGACACTATTCAGCCTATTTGTTATGTATAACATGAAGAGGGCAACCTGATTTAAACTACAAACTTTAGTCAATAATAATTTATCAGTATTAGCTTCTTAAATGTAACAAATCTATGTCACCAATATGAGATATTAATAAAGAGGGTTAGGGGGAGGGAATATAAGAGAATGCTCTGTGATCCTGGCCTAACTTTTCTATAAACCTAAAACTGACCAGAAGTTAAGTTTACTTTTAGAAGATCTATTGTCTTTGTCCTCCAGAATTTCAAAATGCAATTGGAGCAGTTATGTACAGACCTATACTTCCAGTAACAAATTACCCCACACACTCGGTGAATTTCGGCAATAAGAATTTATTTTGCCACGGTTTTGAAATGCAGAAGTCTGAGTGTGAGGTGCTGACCTGGCCAGCTCCCTCCAGTGTCTCTGAAGCAGAATCTTTCTATGCCTCTTTTATCTTCTGATGGCTCCTGGAGTTCGTGGGTTTGTAGCAAATTCCATCTTGGCCTTTACTCTTACAGGGCACCTGTTTCACATGACCTGTGCTCCTTCTCCCTTTATCTAAGGAAACTTGAATTGGGTGGAGAGCCCACTTGTGCAGGACAGTCTCATTGTGACATCTTTAATTACATCTGCAAAGAGCTTCTCCTAAATAAAGTCACACTCAGAGGTTCAGGGGTTACGATGTGGATGCACCCTCTTTTGGAGGGGTGGCATATTCCTTTCACCCTACTCTATTTATAATAAAACTCAGAATACATTGATAGACAATGAATACAGTGCTCTAGAAAGGATAGAGAAAGGTTCATAGGGGATAGGGAGAGAAGCAAATATTAGTGGATGACCTGGAATTTGTTAGATTGGGCTAGAGTGTTTTGGAGTGAGAGCTGGTGAAATCTCCAGAGACACTCCCCAAGAAGGCAGAGAGAGGCAATGGGGCGCCATGGTTATGAGATGGTAGAGATATCAGGGTCTTAAGAGAAAGCTGGTGAGGACTAAAGGGAGTCAGTGTAGCCTCTGGACATGTAATGTTGACCTGGGACAATTTTAAAAGAGACTTTGAGATTTTTTTGTCCCCCCCCCCAACTTTTTAAAGATGAGATCATATTTGTGCTTTAGAAATAGGATTGTTGACAGCAGAATTGGAACTTTAGGAAGCAAAGACCAACAGCAGGGAAATTAACAGGCTAGGGTAAAAAAATCGGACATGGGGGTTTCAAGAGCTAGGAATGAACAGAAAGAAAAGAAGTAAGAGGTATTTTGGAAATAGCACACAATGAGTAACTGGATTCCATGAATGGGAAAGAACACGCAAGTGACTCGGAAGGCTGTGACTTCAGCCCTTCATTTGGTGCCATTATTCAAAGCAGGCACGGAGGGAGGAGACAGTTGTACGAGGGGTGAAGAAATGCGAGTTTGTTTTCAGATACGTTTAACTTTGTCATGCCTTGTCTCTAGTTTTTGGTTTAGTGTGCTGCAATTTCTGCTCTGAACAGCAAAGAGCTCTGAAAAAAGATCTGAGCTTTCAGGGAAAAAATCATCTTTAAAATTGTCTTTACAATTTCCCACACAGGTCTCTCCCAGCCAGTGCCTGTCACAAATGACAAGCTCCACCAGACCCTGTGCTCTGAGAACAAGGAATTAGAGAATCCCTGACCACTAAGAATTATTATAGCTGGCTCACAGAGGTAAGCCACTATTTTCTCTTTTTGAAGGCATACGAGAAGGCTGAAATCACTGCTATAGGGTAGCAGCCTAATCTTATTATAAAGAACTTGAAAAGAGAATGAGAACTAAGCTTTCACAGGGAAGAGGGTCCTCAGACCCACAGAATGGTGCTTTACTCCTTCCCGTTTTTATCTTCAGAGTTGCTGCAGTGGAGAAAACTATGTTCTAACCTAAAAAATAAACATTCTATCCCTATGACAGGGACTGATTCACTATGGAAACACTGACTGAGAAGGCATTCTGGCTTACTTCAAAAGACTTTCAATAACTGCCAAAAAAGTTTATTTGGATAGTGTCAGTTTCATGTGTTTAATCAACTAAAAACTCAATCCAGGGTGGAGAGTGTGACACGGCATGTGTTCGGAGGAGGCCGGGCATGTGTTCGGAGGAGGCTGTGCATGTGTTCCTATTTGCGGGAGCAGAAGTGTGTTTGCATTTGTGGATGTTTGAGCGTGAGCAAAGGTGCATGCATGTGTCATATTATTCTTTTCTATTTTATTCTGTTCTTTAGCAGGGTCACGTTTAACAATTAGTATAGTTGGGATCACCTCAACCCTACATTTCCAAGGTTTCTATAACACATCCCCTTACACTATGTCTTGCATTAGTGTGCTCAAAAAGATTTCTGTAACTACAAACAAGACTGAGAGGTAGAAAAGGAACACCTGTTTCCTGCTGGTTAACAGACTTCAGCATGATGTCTAAAGCCTTCCTTCGAAGGGCTGCATGCTTTTTGGTTGGTTTCAATGCACAGTATGTACTAGGAAATCTGTGCGTGATCTTTCAGTCACATAAAAGCAAACTCATCTGAACTGATCTCAGGTTGTTGTTGTTACAGTAGTCAAATTCTGTATAGATACATGTGTTAATAAAGATGTGATGACAGCTTATCGCCTTTGGTACCATTAAAATTTAATGTATAAAATGAGGAGACCAAACAATGTCTCATCCTGGATTCTGAGTTTTTCTGATCTTATCTATGAGCTGCAGTACTTGATAAAATGACTTTTTGCTGCACTGGTTCCATCCCCACTGTATATCAATGTATAATATGTAACACTTTGGGAATTTATTAAGGTTGAGTAAGTATAAAAAATAATAAAGTAGCCAATCTCCTGTTTTACAAATATCCAGACGAAGATTCAGGAAAATTATCTGTCCAATGAAAGATGACTTGAAGAACTCCTGTCTCTTTCTCCTAAAGCACTGTTCCTTCTAGTCTACCAATGTCTTAGACACAGAGCACACAGAAATTATGGTTTAGTTTTCACAACAAAAGTGCATCTACAGGATCTGGGATACAGCTCAGCTGCATAAATGCCTGCCTGGCAAGCACAAGGTCCTGAGTTTGATTCCTCAGGTACCAACCCCCCCCCCCAAACTCTACAGTGTACACAGTATGTCACAATGAATTTAGTCTCAGTTTAAATAAATGACTTGACACAATTTGGCAGCTATATACAAAAAGAATTAATGATTCCAGGGGTAATATTTACCTCCTTAGTTCTATCTATCAAAACACAAACTAGCATTCTGCTCATGCTATATTCAACCAGATTCCAGCCAGCTGCCTTGCAAATGGTTGCTGGGGTTCAAAAGAGAATCAGGTGACAGAGTGTGTCACTCAACTCAATCACCACGCTCAAAGGGACATCACTCCAAGTGTGTGTGTTGCTGACAGCGCCTCAGTAGCAGCATCTGTGCAGATGAAGCAAAAATTTTATAATCAGCATCATTATGTTCTCACTCCACGTTGGTTTTAGTGGCACTGTTTGGGAAAAAGATAAACGCATTTAGCTCAATCTACAGTGTGATGGGAGGAAGAGATAAAATATTCGGAGGAAACTGATGCTCCATTAGTATCCAAGGTATGGGTAGAATGCAGTGTTTTTGTGGTTTTTTGTCTTTTTCTCTAGTATTGCATCCTCTCATGGTGTTTATAATGACAGAGTAACTATTTATTATATAGAATTATTCTTCAAGTATAAATGAGTTTTTTTTATTACAAAAGCAATACAAATTTGCAAAACAAGCATTTGTAGAAGAGATACACAGTTAAAAGCTACTAGTCATTTTCCCATTACGCATCAATAAATTCGGCCAACAACTCAGTGTGTAAACTTTCATTTAATTTGTTATGCATTTCTGCACGTATGTTTATACAGTAAAATATATTTCTGATTAAATTACACCATACTGCATGTTCCTTCACAATAATAATTAATCATGATCATTTTCCATATTAATTTAAATGAACTGTGACTTAAAATATATTATCAGATTGAATCAGTGATCATTTTATTTAATGAAGAAGAATATTTTAAAATTTTTATTTAAAAAAAACTGATTTCAAAACAAGATCATGGGGGAGTAACAATAATTAATACGTTGCACATTGTTATGTTCAGGGTAGGTTCTCAGGATACAAGAGATAGGCGTGAAGTACTGACCAAAAGAAAGCAATGTTTTGTCACAAGACACAGCTGTGATCTCCCACACTGGTTCACCTGTTTCATGGCAGCCTGTCTATCCGCACAACTCCCTGACCTCCCCTTCCCTCAAAAAGTACTGCTCAGCAAACTCTCTTTAGTTCACTGACTTCCGTTTCCTTTTCTATCCACTAATTTTGACTTCTTTTCTCATAGATTTCTTTTTTATGGGTCTAGTTTGTTTTAATTGGTAATATCCTGGGGAGTTTCCTGACCATCTCCTTAAAACACTGATTTTTCAAGCAACTTGCCTTAGGACATTGCCTGTGATTTCTAAAGACCTGCAAGATTCTCCAACCTGGGATTTGTTTAAAGGCTTCTGTTTGATAGCATTTGCTAAAGTACTGTCTCTGTTTGGTCACAAACTGGACTCCGTTTCCCTATGCACTCTCTAACTTTCCACTTAAACTCACTTCTCTCCTCTTTCTTTAATTTCCCTTTCACAGAATCTCTCTCCTACCTTCATTTTCGTCTGGTGTATGAACGTTACCACTACAACCTAATTTTTGATATCTTTTTCCTTGTTTCTCTTTTAGAGTTTATATATAGGACATATGTGTACACACAGCTGCACTAAGTGTTAATGATTGTTTTTGTGTGTGCAGGGCCTTGGATTGATCTATCAAGTTCTCCCTCACCGATGGTTGGTTGCTTCTGGGGTGTTCTCAAGATGGCATCTACCAGTTTATTAAGTGGGTCCAATCACCTGAAAGCTTCTCTCACTTTCCATTTATACTCTCTCCCCTTTTTCTCCTTCTTTCTGCTCCCCTGCATGACCTCTCAAACCTCTGCTTTCTGTCCCCCCACACTTGGTATAAAGACAATATGGTAAAAACCTATGTCTTTCTCTTTTCATTATCTTTTGTCTTTTTTCTTCTTTGCTTTAAATTTTTTTTCTTGTTTGCTTTTTTCTTCTATTTACCAGCCTATTCCTCACTATTCTATTCCCTTTGTCTTCCCTGTGTTAAGAAATTTTTAAATTTTAAGTCATGTATAGATACATAGTTGGCTTTCTGGATATTGATGTGACTTGGTGGGTGCTTCACAATATAGTGGAAGGGAAGGTGACAGTATGTTGGATAGGTTGAGTTGGTGTCTGTCTGCACACTGACTTATACCCAAAGCCAAGGACACATCAAAAGGGGAATTCCACTTGATAAAGAGATCTCTTTAATAGGAACAGACCTTTCTCCTCTAACTGATCTATACATAGCCTTCAATACACCAGCACAAGAATCATGAGAAAATGAGGCAACCAGATGCCTCCAAAAACCCATAACTCCCCCAAAATTAATCTCACAGGCTCTTCAGTGTGAGTTTCCAAACACAGTATCCTTGTTTAATGTAAAGAAATAAAAATATAAAATCAAAAAATGTGGTGGGAAACAAAAACACAGGGTTTCCAGAAATATGGAAGGAGATGGGGGAGGAGTGCAGGGAAGATAAATTATGAGGCAAGTGATACAAAAATGATCCAGATATGCTATGTGCTTGTAGCAGAACCTTAAAATGAGAGTAACTGTTATGTATTGCAAAATTCGCTAATAAAAACATGTGAAATCCAAAATGCTCCAAAATCTGAAACTTTCGAGCATACACATAAAGCCATAAGTGGGAAGACTCATCGTGTAACTTTTTTGTGTAGAAAAATTAAAAATATAATCAAAATTCAATAAAGAAAATACTGTGAATAATTCTTTTACACTGACGGTTACTTTTAGATTATAATAAGATGGGTCTTCTGAATGAAGCGTGTTCTTCCCTGGAGACAGTTCTATAAAATATATGCAGCTAATTATCTGTCCACTACAATGCCTCTAAAATCCTGAGCAGAGATTACAGAAATATCATCCTCCTCTTGACGGAAACAAGCAAGATTCATCTCTTCTACTTAAAAATTTTGTGAATTTGTATAAAATATCTTTTCCATATTTCAGCCTTGTTCATGACTAATTGTGATGAAGAATGACTTGTTTGACAGTTTGGGCCTCACATAAGCCATATATTCATGGGCTCAGTCCTCAATTAAATGAAAAAAAAAATGTATCAGTACCTGACTGTGATCCATAATGAATACAGTCTCTGGAGAGTTGGTATCTGTACCTTTTTCAATTTAATTCCTTTTACTTCTTCTCTCCACCTTTCCCTTCCATCCTTAGGTCCCCTTTAATGACTGAAGAAGACAGTGTCATGGTTCAGATCTACAATATACTGCCAAATTCTCAGCACAAATTGGGTCATGGTGGTGCCGTGCTCCTCCGTGGACTCATCTGTTGAGAAACACAGTAGCTCAGTGTGACGTTAGGAAGCGGGGCCTGGTTGGAGGTGACCTCTGGTGATGCAAGCTGGAAGGGTGGATTCTGGTCCTCAGGGCTCTGTGTTATTGCTACATCCTGGCTGCTGTGGGATGAGCAGTGTCTTCTGCTAAGGCCTCTCCATCATAGCTGACCGTGGGCTGTAAGCACAAACCA